GGCCTGGCCCCGCTCGGCGCCTGCCGGGGCCGGCCCAAGGGCGGCCGCGGGGTCCGGGCTGCGCCCTCACCCGCCGCCCCCTGGGGCTGGGGCTCGCCCTTGCCTGGGGGAGAAGGAAGGGAGAAGGGGGGGAGTGCTCCTGCATGCTTTGCTCTTACGGAATATATATGAATGTATGTGTGTATGTGTGTGTGTGTATGTGTATGTATGTGTATATGTACGTATGCATGGTGCTTTTGTTGGAGCTGTGCTGTAACTGAGTGCCTCTGAAGCACCCAGCTTTATGGTGGGTCTCCAGCAGCTTGTGGAAGGGATCCCAGAATCCTAGAATCAGAATGGTTGAAAAAGACCTTCAAGATGGTCAAGTCCAGCCGTAAACCCATCCCCACCCTGCCTGCTAAACCCTATCCCTAAGCGCCTTATCTACACGTTTCCTGAACGCTGTCAGGGACGGTGACTCCACCGCTTCCCCGGGCAGCCTCTTCCGATGCTTCAGCACTCTTTCCATATAGAAATTCTTCCTAATATGCAACCTGCACCTCACCTGGCACAACTTGAGGGCATTTCCTCTTGTCCCATGTCCCTCTGATTAATTACAGTGTGTGATGGAGCAAGGATGATCAGAAAGGAAGACGAGGCTTCAAAAGGGAAGACTGGCAAATATTCCAGAAAAGGCAGAAGTCACGTGAGGAAGGATCCATCCGTTTGTGATCCACAGAGGAGCATTATTCAGGCTCTGGTGACCACCTGTCCTGCAGGGGAGCATCAGACCTTGACCTTGTGATTAAGCCACAGGGCTGCTTTGAACCATGTCCAACCTGGGGAAGGTCCAGCCCAACCAGTTCACTTGCATTTTGAGGTAAATCACCTGCCAGTTTAGATGAGCCTGAGCACATGCTGCCATGTAAAGCTGCAGAAAAGCCATATCATAGGTCTCTTTTTTTTTCCCAAGGCAGTCTTGTGGCTTTTGAAGGCCTGGTGGGGTATTTTTCAAAGAGTTAATTCAGAATAAAAATCTCTTTCCTGAGACTATGAATGAATTTGCAGGTGAGTTGATGTTTGAGGTATATCTTCTCTCATTTGTGGTAGGCAAAAGAGCACAAGCCACTACAAAATTAAAACTTCCTACATGAATAGATTTGAGCACTCAGCGTGTGGCTTACAGCACTAACCATAAGACTTACATGCTGATTACTTTGTCACAAAATTATGGCCAGCCCAGGAAATAATGAATTGACACCTGAGCAGTTTAATGTGGTATAATAGAAACTTACCCATTTGGGGATTTATTATGTATTCTAAAAGTAGTTTGCATCTTTTTATCCCAATAGATAATGGATCAGGCTCCTTATATGTGTAATTAATTTCCATCTGATTACCACTTTAGAGCTCTGATTAATTTAATTTTTCTATTGCCTAAAGCAATAGTCAATAGTGTAGTTTTGTTTTAGCAGGAGTTTATATTTACTTTGTAACCTGTACTAGCATGTCCTGGGAAAATGTTAATGTTATTGATCCTTTCTGAGTCATGTAGATTAAAGATATTTAATGTACTGTTAGACTGTATTTCAATTTGTCTGTCTTCATCTCATTCATGTCTTCTGTTTGTGAGATGAAGGAAATTTTTCAGTGCCTTTTCAGTCCAGGTCATTTTTGCTGTTACTCCCTCAAATTCATTACAGAAATGAAATTGGGTTGGGAAGCGAAGGACAAGGATGGCTTCTGACATCTGGAAGTCCATAGTTTGCTCAGCTGACGAGCTGAGTAAATAGATCTTTTTAGCTGTCTTGAGCAAAAAGCAGTGATTAGTAATCATTTCCTTGCTAGAATTTTTTCTGTTACACTACGTTTCTTACTCATATACCAAACACTGTCTGTTTGTTTAATGGAGTAATAAAGACGCACAGAGGACAGCAGGAAATAATTAGACATCATCCCTCTACTTTTGCTAGAAAAAAAGACCCAGTCTAGAAACATGAAATGCTTCAGTCCAGTCTTGAATGGAGGCCGTCACCAGAGGTGGAAGTCCGTATGGAACATGTACAATTCTGTCATAGATTCCTCAGCACTGCTTTGCAGTATAGACAATAAAACACACCAGAAAACTCCCTTGTGTCTGGTAGCCAAATGGGTCTGCAATTGCTGCTTAGGCCATTGGGTCAGAGCTTGGAAATGTGCCCACAGATGGATCCATATCGGGTCAGCGTGCGTTAGCTTTCCTCGTGCTGTGAGAAGTCCTGCTGCAGACCAGCAGGTCGCCTTTCACACGTGTTGGTCCCAATTCCTTTCTGAATTCAAGGCAGCTCTTTCCAACCATCCAGTTCACTCTTTTGCTGTCACTCTTGCATTTTAGAGATATTCTTCTGAAACTTTCCCCTTCTACCTAGCTTTAAGTTATTTATTTATTTGGTTGTTACAGTCTATTCTGTAAGGATTTTGAGCTAGAAGTGACAGAATTTGTGCACCATGAGAGAACAGACACACTATTTCCCAAACTGCAGAATGGCCAGTGGTTCTGGTCTCTGCACGGCCGTGGGCTGGAAGAGAGAGCAGATGTCTACTGCGTTTGTCTGCTTCTTGCCTGAGAGACCATCAGTGGAAGGCTGGCTATAAGGCCATATTTGTCTTTTGTCCTGAATTTTTCCTCCCCCCACAACAGTTGCCTCTTGGGGATATGATTTTTAAGCTGAAACTGAGCCTGATGTTTATTTCCTGCTCTTTATATGACAATAATTAAAACAGTAAGATTACCATTACAAATGTTGTCAAATTATGACTGAATGTTACTCTGGGAATGTTCAGAAATTGGTCTTGTATACTTACTGAGGAAAAAAAAAACATATTTAGTATTGAGAAATAAGCAAAATTCATCTGCTTGCTGACATTTTTAGGGGCCCAACCAAAGCAAGATTTTAAGGAATCTTCATGACCAAGTGGAGAACTGATGCCAAGTTTCCCTCCCAGTTCTGCAGAAAGCTTATTCCAGGGGCCTAGGAAACATGTATACTCAGCCTCTTCTTTTCATGCAGGACAGAGGAGAGCTTCTCCAGCCTTCTCTGCTTGGCTGTAAATTGGGCCTATTTTACTGTGATTCCTGTAGGCCTCTTCTCCCTCATCGCCTCAAAGGTTTGGTAGAACTCCCCATGTCACTGTCTTCACGGAGCAGCATCAGGATCAGTGCACACTGTGTTCTTGTGCTGAGTGCCTGGTCTTGTGCCTATACCAGCTCAGCTTCTACACTGGCAGTTTCTAACAGGAGAGAATGCAGAAATGCTGCAGGAAAATGAAAAGGATTAACCTAACGTTTTGTTATGTGAAAGGATGGAGCTAGAGGATAGAGCTGTCTGCGTAATCCATTCACAGTTTAGCCACAAGCTAGGTGTGAAGAATAAAAATGGTCATTACCATCCTCCTATGCCCTCCTCCCTAGGGTGCTGCGGTCTCAGCTGACTTGTCAAATTAGGTAAAATGGATGATGCCCTGCAGGAGGCCCATCTCTTTCTTCTTTGGCTGGCACAAGTCCCCAGCAGCTTCCAGCATAGCTGTATCCCAGTTTATGAGGCAGGGAAAGCTTCCTATTAGTGTTTAATAGACCAAGATAAAAAAAAAGTCAGATTTCTGTGGTACAAGGGGGACTGGGTCAGTCAGAAGCACCTATCTTGTCTCAGATAAAGACCAAGATGCCGTCTGCAGCAAGGACTGCTACCGAACATGCCTCATACCACAGCACATCCAGCAATGCATGCTCCTTACCCCTTGCCTGCCCAGCTGTGTCCCTGGATGTCTGCTCCACCACTTGCTCAAGCTCACAGCCTGGGGCAGTCCCATCTATGTGCTTGAATCATGGCCCTGGAGTTAATTGCCCTATTTAGCTTTTGGGCTTCCGCTCAGAGTTCAGCACTGCTTCTTGCTTTGCGATACCATGGGACGTGTGACTCTGCAGCAGTTGTGGACCCAGTGAAGTGGTGCCAGCAGCTTGTCTCGAAAGCCAGAGGAGATAACCAGTGATGGTGAGGCCCAGCTGCCCAACCTTTAAAGCTGAGGCCTTCCCTTTCTTGAAAGATTAATCCCAACAGCTCCTTTCAGGGTTGTAGTTGCATAAATGTTAATACTGCATTGCAGGAAGCTAACTGGGCCACTCTCTGCCTACGGATTCCTCTCCTTTAAATGCTTGTTTTGTGGCATCTGCATTCCCCAGAGACCTCAGTGTTTATGAACCTTATGTATTGCAGAGAGGGTTGCGTTGTCCTGAGGCCAGGCCTGCCAGGCCTGAGGCTCTGCCATTCTTTCATGAGCTGAGAC